CGAGAGAGAGAGAGAGAGAGAGAGAGAGAGAGAGAGATTCTTCTACTGAGGCGACTGATACCTTTGAAGGATGTTCTCTGAGGATTACATTTATTTATTTATTTATTTTTCCTCAAAGGGAGTTCTCTATAATCACTATGTCCAGACATGTTTTTCCACTTCCCTGAGCTCTATGGCTGAAAGAAATTCTAGGGCTATCCCCCTTATTAAATAATAATAATATTCTGTAATTCTGCTTTAGCAGATTTGAAGCTCCTGTCACGTAGTTATTTCATGCCGGAGCAGTTGCTGGATTTTAAATCACCTCTGTTCCCCCCGCCCGCCCCCGACTCTGAAGAGGGCAGGAGTTTAGGGAAATCCCTTCGTAAAACAGAGAAGAGTTTTCCCAGCAACTGCGGTTATTGCCTCATTTAGGGCTGTTCAATGGCAGTTCATCTTCCCCATTCTGTTCCTCACACCACCCAAACGATTGTCCAGGTATCTTCCATCCATCACAAATATGCCAAATATTTTAGAGTCACTGACTAATGTTCTCTGGAATTTGTGCTGTAATGCTGTCATTCAAAGTTTTAAATCTTTCCCCCCTGCAAATTGGATCTTATATTTCTAATTATTATTACTATTACAAATAAATTCTTCTGCTTTATAAATTTACAGTGTCCTAATGCCCTCAAGACTCCATATGGGTAAATCTCTGCACCCAGACTATAACATTTCTTGGTTGCATTTCTGGTGTCTGGGATGCATTTCTTGAGTTCTTGAATGGATTTAGTTGTAGAACAAATAATTTTATAGCAGTCCTCAGTAGAGTAGCAGCGAGATTTGCCTACTGTATACATATTTTCTCTGAAGGACAGGAAGTCCTGACCCTGGAAAAGAACTTTTAGTTATTAGGTAAGTCTCTGGTCAAGACATTATTCATCTCCAACAATTTAGCACTGAACACAATTCAGATAGCCAATGGCAGCATGGTCGATGTAAAAAAAAAAAAAAAAAAAAAGACAAACACAAAACCCATAAAACATACTCAGCAGGATGGAATAGACTTCTTGAGAAGGCATTTGTAAAGACTGTCATATAAATATACTTAAGAGGTAAAATTTCCTTGAAACTATGCATAGATTTAAGGTCTGAAATTCCTTGTTAGCCAGGAGGATCATATTGTTGGAGCAAAGTACAGAAACTCCAAAGAACAGGAATATAATGATTCTGTTCAAGAAATTGTACCTCTGTGCTTTTTTTTCCTAGGTTTGTTTCATTGTTTATTGGTGGGTAAAAAGAACACACACATATTGAAAAGTTAGAACCCGCACTTCAACAACTGTTCAAAAAAACTTATCAATATAAGTAAATTAATGCTTTAAAGAAAAAAAAATCTTTTTATTTTTCTACTCAAGGTGGCATATCTCATGGCTTTATCAACATTGCCATTTAAGCACATGCTTCATGCAAAGCCAAAAGGTTTCAGTGGGTAAGGTGATATTCAATTTATATTTCCAACCACACTTTTCTGGTCCATCAGTAAAGTTTTGTGTTTGACAAATCAAAAAACAAGCATAATCAGAGTAGCCTGTCAATTATAGATGCAATTTAAAGTCACAAAACTTTTTTTAAAAAAAATATTGTCCTCAGAGGTGCTGCTGATATGGTTTTAGTCATTTTGTATTTGTTACCAAGTTATCCTATGCAGCAGGGGAAAATACAATTTTCTTTTTGCTTTCAGCAATATAGACATTCAGAGGAAATGGACTGACTTTGCTATTTAATTTAGGAAAAAGTTCCTCATTTTGGTTTATTATACACTATTTCAGGGTAGAAATAAACCTAGGCAGATTCTTGTTGCTCTGTACTGTGTTGTGTGCATACACATACACGCACACATGCACATAGCTTACTTCTTGAAAATGTGCCCAGATAAATAAATGTGCCATTTATTGGTTCGCATCTGAGATTTTTTTCATGTTCCCTTTGCCATTTCATTTGCCTTGGATTATTTGATTTGCCCTCCTGGTTATTCAGATTTGTGTATTGCCCAGTCTTCCATACCTGTGGTGCTGAGAATTTCCCCCTAGAATCCAATAAATGTATATTTATGAAATAGAACAATTTTTTGATGGATAAAGGCCGTCATTTGACTTAGCAGTGCTTCATTA